TTTTCCATTTTGAGTAAATTATAACTTAGTAAATGTAGCGTCTTAATTTTTCATTTTTATTTTTTATTATAGCATTGTACTTTAAATGATATTATATATTTGTTATTTATATCAATTTTTTCATATTAGATTTTTAACATCAACTTATTTTGTTTTTATTTTCATATTTTGAGTAAATTATAACTTAGTAGATTTAACGTCTTAATTTTTAATTCTTATTTTTTATTATATCATTTTACTTTAAATGATATTATATAGTATTTGTTATTTATATCCTCTTTTTTTTTTCTATATTTTGATTGTCAATATCAACCTGATTTTGTTTTTACTTTTCTATTTTGAGTAAATTATAAATTAGTAGATTTAGCGACTTAATTTTTAATTTTTAATTTTTTTATTATATCATTGTACTTTCAACGATATTATAAATTTGTTATTCATATCATATTTTTTTTCCATATTTTGATTTTTTAAACAACTTATTTTTATTTTTATTTTTCTATTTTGAGTAAATTATAACTTAGCACTTTTATTTTTTTATTATAACATTATAATTTAAACGAAATTATATATTTGTTATTTATAACATCTTTTGTTTTTCCATATTTTAATTTTTAATATCAACATAATTTTGTTTTTCTTTTTCTATTATGACATTATATATTTACGTATTTATTTTTATTTATATTAACTTACTTTATTTTTTATTATATTATAATATTTTAAAAAGACATTTAATTTATAATATCTTTTTTTCTTTCAGTTATAACATCCTATTATAACATACATATACATACATCCAATATACACATATTTTGTCATAACATACAATATACATACATACAAATGCACTTAAGCTTATATAAGGCTTTAAGGTATATTCATTTTATCCTCTCTCTCTCTCTCTCTCTCTATATATATATATATATATATATATATATATATATATATATATATATATATATATATATATATATATCTCACTTCAAATAAAAATAGATTTATTGTTAAGGAAAATGAAAATGAATTATAGCTAATTATTTGTATTTTCGGATTTAATTAGTTAAAATAATTAAAAAAAATTGATAACAATTAGGTTATGTTTGACACACCACAACTAGCTGATAAATAACTTATTTTTCGAACTTTTTTATGTTGTCATATTTGGTAAACAAAAAAACAACTTATAAACCAGCTTTTTAAAAAACTTTTTAAATTAGATTTTTAGAAGGTTTTTGAAAAAAATTTCAAATGTACCTTTAATTAATTATAGAAAAATATTGTTTCTAATGTCATTTAATGTTATATTTATATTTAACCTAACATATCGTTTAGTTTACCAAACATTATTTTTTTATCGACTAATTTTTAGGTATTAGCTAACTTTTTATATAACAGATAACTTTTAAGATATCAAATAAAGTTATAGTTAAGAGCTTGTTTTTTTCGGTTATTACACCAAACATATAAGGTTATTACTTGGATTATAATCGGATATCTAATTGGTTTGAATCGGTTTGGTCGGATTTTAATAGGTTGTTAATTCAAGAAATATGGGATCTCCAATTTAAATAATGGAACTTTAATACTGATCGTACAATCTAATTATAATTGGATATTCAGTATCCACCCATTTAAACTGGATTGATTGGTACGAATTTGATACTTTTTTTCAGCGAATCCTAAGTCCTCTAATTATCATATTTTAAAAATTATCTCAATTATAGTTCTATTTTTTTTCTTCTATAAATTAAGTCACTCGTCAGCATATACGTATTTAATTATATAACGTTGAGTCGACCCAAGAAGACCCCAAACAACTACCATTTAGACTTTTCTGCTTGACTATGAACTGACATCGTTTACCGTGCTTAGGTGAGATTTATAGGTGACGTTCGCCTTCATTGTTTGTTCAAGAACACCCATCAAATTCTATGTTTCGCTCTCTATGTATAACATGTACTAAATGAGAATTGCATTTTCATTAACACCCATCAGAATCTCTTTGTAAGAAGCCATATACACAGTGAAGTTGAAGTAGGAGTATAGAGTAATGGAAGAGATGGTGGATGGATTCAATCAAGGAGAAGGTGATTCAGAGAACAGGATTCATATCATGAATGATGAAGGACAAATTGTAAGCAAGCGCATGGTGGAGAACCAGTTCACAACTCCCGAACCAGATTCCGAGAATGGTCAGAATGGAATCAACAAACAGCCAGAAGAATGGCTTCCCATCACTCAATCAAGAAAAGGGAATTCATGGACAGCCACTTTCCATTTGCTTTGCTCTGGAATCGGAACACAAACACTCTCTCTCCCTCTCGCCTTCGTATACCTTGGCTGGTAAGCCCATTCTACACACTTCAATTAACTCATAAGTCAGCATCAAAAAATTTCAAGTTCTTAGAGTAACTTATTATCAATATATAATCACGTACACCAATTGGTTAATAAGATATCTTTTTTAAAATCCAGCCTTTGTTCTGAATTGACAAAGTGTAGCCAAAATTTCTTTTTGTTCCAGGTTTTGGGGGATTCTTTGTTTGTGTGTAGCATTTGTATGGCAGCTCTATACAATTGGTTTGCTAGTGAGTCTTCACGAATCCGTCCCTGGTACTCGTTACAGCAGATACCTTCAACTTTCGATAGCTGCCTTTGGTATATGCATAAAGATTCCTTTGTTAAATTAAATAATATATAAAAAGTAGATCTTTACATGACCATATATGATATATTATCAATATTCTTTGACTTTTGCAGGTGTGAAACTGGGAAAAGTTATGGCCATTTTTCCAGTGTTGTACCTTGCAGGGGGTACATGTGTCATGTTCATAATCGCAGGGGGTGGAACCATGAAACTTTTCTATCAACTCATATGCGACGACTGCTCTTCGAAGCATCCTTTAACAACCACAGAATGGTTCTTGGTTTTCATTTGTTTGACAATTCTTGTGTCCCTTTTTTGTCCGAACCTGCATTCTGTATCTCTAGTATCGTTATTTGGAGCAATCATGGCCGTTGGATATTGCACAACATTATGGGTAATGATGGTTGCTAAAGGAAAGATAGACGGCGCCGTTTATGATCCATCAAAAGTTGTGGCATCAGAAGCTGGTCGAGCCCGAAGTACACTGAACGCACTTGCGATCATTGCACTTGCATTTAGAGGCCATAATGTTGTGTTAGAGATACAGGTAGATATGCCATTGACGTTTTTCCACTTACTTAATGGGCACACCACACAAGTATGGTGTTACATATGGTATATGGTCATATGAACCCTAAATCAATGTTATTTACAATATTAATTAACATGGTTTTATTTTTTTTAAGGGTACTCTTCCATCAACCCCAAATCGTTCATCGGCAAAGTCCATGTTGAAAGGAGTGAGAGCTTCATATCTTATTATCGCAATGTGTTTCTTCCCCGTTGCGATTGTTGGATATTGGGCCTTTGGAAACAAGGTTAGCAAAATATGCTATGAAAAAATAATTGTGTTTAACCTTATTAAACTATACTTAATATTTAAAATGGTTCCAGATTCCGGTGAATGGAGGAATGCTAACGGCAATATCAACCACCCTTCACCACAACGCATCAAAACCAGTGCT